GTCACTAAAAAATATTGATAGCCCACGTAAATTTTAATCGCGCAGCAGAAGTCATAGCATGCGGTTTTCAATTGAACAGCTATGGGAATTTAAATTATATGAGACCGGTAGACAGTTGTGTATATATTATTCCAATTTTACGAAAATCTCCGTACTTGACCTTTAAAACACACTTGTCTTTAAATTGGAGACGATGAAAATGAAAGTAATTCATTGATTCTCAGAAACTGGATGATTTTGCTACAGAAAGTAACGAAGTGTGCTGCAAGTGAATCAACTTTTGTCAAATACTTATTCAAAAGATAATTTTGCATTGGGATTCGTGGGTAAGCAGGTTGGGGGAGGGGGTATGCGTTTTATGCAATAATTATTATTCAAAGTAAATTTTGTAATGTTTGATTAGTAAAATCCATAAATTGTCTAAGTCAAATCGTAGTCATTACTTTTCTTCCGAATTATCACTATTAGCTTCAACTTGGCCGCCGACAATAGTCGCCTCGATAGTTTGATACATGTTCTGATGTAGCATGTATGGGTCATTTTCAAAAAAAGTCCATTTTTTGAATGACATATTTTTGAAAAATGAAAGTGGTTTTCCTATGATTTTTTCAACTTTATTTGAATAATACAGTAATAAACTACTAAAATCCACTGCATTTCATAAAAGAAAGTATTTCTTTAAAAAAATATTGACATTTTATCTTAGTCATTTAAACTTTAATGTCCTTCCTGTTACTTTCATAAAAAGAGTTGTAAAACTCTATTTCAAAATTTTCATCAAATAATCTTTTGTATGTCGTTAAAAAAGGGGAAAAAAAATATCATTGAATGCTGAGATGTCTGACATTCATCTAATATATGAGCGTTTACAAGCATGTCAAACTACCATATACCAAACAGAAGCAAAATCTACGGGTTTCTCCTCATGAAAAGCCTTATTGCAGAATGTTTATATGCTATAGTTGAAAAAAAAAACATTCTTGTACATTATTTTTGTGATTAGAATAAACAATTACAGAAAGTTATTTAAACATGTGCTCTGCCAAAGCAATTTAAACTAGGAAAATATACTGGTAACAGTAAGGACTCGGTTAACAGGAAGGACAAAACAGTAACAGGATGGACCAAACAGTGTAACAGGATGGACAATGAAATCTACATTTTAAATAAAAATTGACTTTTTTTTTAACTTTACTGGTTACGAAAAGAGAAAGAAATGTAGAATAAAAACATAATTTTGTCAAATCTGGCAAAATCGAGACAATAAAAGACATTTATGTCCATCCTGTTACAAAATTTAATTGTAAAGTGCTATTAAAATATTTATCACTTCAATTTTTGTTTATTAAAGGTACTCTTTGCTGTTGCAAAACTAAGAATTTTTCATAATTTTAAGAAAAACAAATGATAAAACTTAAATAGGTATATAAATACCAGGATAATTTGTCCCTCCTGTTACAATTTCTGTCCATTCTGTTACAAGAGTGCATGTTTAAGTTATAATGGCACTATTTGAAGCACAAACAAATCTCAATATGATTTATAAAGTTTTTTAACATGTGTTATTAAACTTATATTACTTAGAAAAATAAAAGTAATTGTTTTTATTGTTAAAACTCAAGATATGAAGTCCAGTTTTCCTTACTGTTATTTGTCCTTTGATCGGGTGAAACGTTTTGAATGGCACTCGTATCGATGAATTTTACACTAAACCAAGCTATCTTCTCAGATCTAGCTTTATTTACCCGCCGTTTCATCTTAAAACCGGAAGTGCGAGTTCGTAAATTTGAAATCTCGATCCCGACTCAAATTTGACATCGGAAAGAAAATTTTTTTCTGAAAATTCAAAACCTTGAGCGGAGGGTTTGTAAAACTGAAAATAAAATAAATTCTGGCCTTAAATATGTAATTAGATCATTAGTATATTAACCAGAGGGAAAGGATAAGATGTTCAAAGAATTCATGCATTTCACTATATAATCATTTGAGCCCCACCCTAAAACAAGAACCCCTGACCCTGGGGCCATAAAATTCACAATTTTGGTAGAGGCACTCTTGCTCATCATAACTAGTATGTACTTAGTTTATTTAATACCCAGGAGCAGAGTAGAAGATTTTCAAAGAATTCATGTATTTTCACTATATAATCAATAGAGCTCCGCCCTAACACCAGAACCCCTGACCTTGGGGCCATAAAATTCACAATTTTGGTAGAGGCACTCTTGCTCATCATAACTATGTACTTAGTTGGTTTATTTAATACCAAGGAGCAGAGAAGAAGATTTTCAAAGAAATAATGCATTTTCACTACCTACTTATTTAGCCCCGCCCTAGCACTAGAACCCCTGACCCAAGGGCCATCAATTTCACAATTTTGGTAGAGGACTCATTGCTGATTACAATCATGCAAACAGTTTGACTGCTTGATGTCCAGGAGTAAAGAAGAAGATTTTTAAAGATTGCATTAATTTTAGTGGTTTTGGCCCCACCCCTCAGGCCCCAGGGGGGCAGGGATCATGAAATTCACAATTTTTGTTCCCCTTCACCCATAGATGCTTTGTGCCAAATTTGGTTGAAATTGGTTCAGTGGTTCTAGAGAAGAAGCTGAAAATGTTCAAATGTTAACGCACGACGGACGACGCACGACGACGGACAAAAACAGATAGCAATAGGTCACCTGAGTTTACTCAGGTGACCTAAAAATGTATGTCGAATTCAGCATCCGAAGCAATTAGTCCATTAGTGTGCATGCTTAGATGTATCATCCCTGCAAGTTTGCTCATTATAGGGCTCATAGTTTATTGGAAATGAAACATGCATCAAAAACTAACATTTTCACTCATCCACAAAAAGTAGGTCAGATTCAGCATCCGAAGCTAGCCTGGTAGTATGCATCCTTAGATGTATCATCTATGCAAGATTGGTCATTAAAGAACTCATAGTTCCTTGGAAATGAAACCTGCACCAAAAACTTTTACCTGTTCACTCAACCGGAAAATGTAGGTCAGATTCAGCATCAGAAGCAAGCCTGGTAGTGTGCATCCTTAGATGTATCATCCATGCAAGTTAGATAGACATAGGGCTTATAATTAGTTGGAAATGAAACCTGCATCAAAACATTAACCTGTTCGCTCAACTGGAAAATGTAGGTCAGATTCAGCATCTGAAGCAAGCCCGGTAGTATGCATCCTTAGATGTATCATCCTTGCATGTTTGGTCAACATAGGACTTATAGTTACTTGAAAATGAAACCTGCACCAAAAACTTTAACATGTTCACTCAACCGGAAAATGCAGGTCAGATTCAGCATCCGAAGCAAGCCCGGAAGTATGCATCCTTAGATGTATCATCCATGCAAGTTTGGTAAACATAGGGCTTATAGTTACTTGGAAATGAAACCTGCACCAAAAACTTTAACCTGTTCACTCAACCGGAAAATGTAGGTCAGATTCAGCATCCGAAGCAAGCCCAGTAGTATGCATCCTTAGATGTATCATCCATGCAAGTTTGGTCAACATAGGGCTTATAGTTACTTGGAAATGAAACCTACACCAAAAACTGCACCAAAAATGTTAACCTGCTCCAAAAACATTAACCTGGTCATTCATTTGCTGAAATTGCAGCATCTGAAACTTTGCCTGGTACAATGAAACACACTAAAACCATCTTCCATGCATGTCTAATCAATATAGGACACAGAAGTAATTAAAACGAAAACTGCTCCAAAAAACTTAACCTTAACCTGGGACGCCGACGGTATCACATAAGCTCCCCCCAACTTCGTTGAGGTGAGCTAAAAATGTGAATATAAAAATACTTTGCCTTGTTAGCCATCAAATTGCTCATTTCTTTCCATAATCCTCTAACACTAGAACACCCTCTCTTATCCTTCATCAATGAATAAAAAGTCTGTAAAACAGTCGGTCATGTGTTTCCATCTTTGTGACATTTAATAATTTGTATCTCAGAAGTATTTTACTAACAAAGGCAAATAATTTTCATTAGCTGACAGAAAATATAAAGATCAAAATAAACTAACTTTGTAATGGGAGAATCCAAATCTCCAAAACAAAAAAAATAGCATGAAAACTTTCTCTGAATGTGCTGATATCCTCAATCAAAAACAATACCATTAGTTAAATTTTATTTCAATTGACAAAACCTGGGAGTGCTGCAAGCACCAGTAATCTCACCCTCTCCCAACAATATATAGTTTATACATAATAAATGTGTCTTATTGAAAAACTTTAAGAAATTATGAAAGAAAAAAAATTAAATATTGCATGATGTTATCACTATAAATACATAATGTTTCAAGCATTAATATTTTTTGGGATTTGAGCTCTACAAAATGTTACATGAGCAGTATATATGTTTCTCAAACAGTGGCCTGCTTAAGTAGTCTCCCTTTAATAAGATATCTGACATATTACTCGCACACATTTTATAATTCTTAAAAGATTATTTTGTAATTGCATTAATTGGTCAATCAATGTTGATTAAATGTAGAACTTTTCCACTGTTTCTCACAAAAATGTTTGCTACTTTGTGTCTATCACATCAGTTTGCCAAGAATATCCATCATTAATCAATCCAAGTTTGTTTGCTATCAGTTTGTGTCCATCACATCAGTTATCCAAGAATATATCCACCGTTATGAATCAATCCAAGATTGTTAGCTAGTTTGTGTCCATCACTGGAGTTATCCAAGAATATATCCACCGTTATGAATCAATCCAAATTTGTTAGCTAGTAGTTTGTGTCCATCACTGGAGTTATCCAAGAATATATCCACCGTAATTAATCAATCCAAGTTTGTTAGCTAGTTTGTGTCCATCACTAGAGTTATCCAAGAATATATCCACCGTTATTAATCCAAGTTTGTTAGCTAGTTTGTGTCCATCACTGAAGTTATCCAAGAATATATCCACCGTTATTAATCAATGCAAGTTATTGTGTCCATCACTGGAGTTATGCATTAATATACATCATAATATTAATCAATCCAAGTGTGAAAGTCATTAAACATGGAAAAATGGCTCCTCTTCTCAAAGATTGGCATACGATGGAACTCCGGAAGTTATTATAATGCATGAAAGCTAAAAGAAAATGAAATATAATTAAATATACTTTTGACAAAATACTTTTTTTTTATCTTACATATATGCATACTGAAATCAAGCATGAAATACATGTATACATATATACGAGGGGTGATCAAAAAATTCGCAAACTAATTGAATAACTTCCATAAAAGAAACATTATTTGGTTTTAATGTTAATTATATTTTAAATTAATCCTCCCCGATTTTAATGCACATCTGCGCATGCGTGAATCATGTGATATTGGCGGTCACGTGACCCCCTCCGTAGCATTCTGTCACAAAAGTTGAAAGCTTTTTCTGAGTTTTATATTTCTTTCCATGTGACTTATTAGTTTTATAACAAGAACAGTTCATTTGTTAGAAATGGTCATATCTCGGCAGCAGAATGGGTGGATAAGAATATCCTTTCCAAAAATTAGCATGGCGACCATTAAAACACAAATCATCTGTTTCGGGAGAGACCTTTATTCAAGGTGGATAGAGAATGGCCCAAGTGAAAAAAATTTCAAACAAATCACTTACAAATTGCCAACAAATTGCTCTAAAATCACTTAAAAGTGATTTGTTTCAGTGATTTGTGCAATTCATTTAACAAATCATGCTTAAATACTTTCTACCAAAATGATGACTATGATTTGCTTACAATTTGTTATGAGAGGGTGATTTGCTTGTGATTTCTTTCCCATTTCAGACAATTTCTGAGTGATTTGTTAAACTTAGGAAATTGTTACAGTGATTTCTTCATGATTTGTTAAACTTAGCCGTTCTTCAAGGTGATTTGAAAATGATTTCTGGAACTTAGTCTTTCTTCAAAGTGATTTGAAGATGATTTGTTAACTTAGTCTTTCTTCTGGATGATTTGTAAATGATTTGTTGATCTCATGGTCCTTCTTCAGAGTGATTTGAGAGTGATTTACTTCACAACTTCCGCCTGGCTTGCTGATTGGTCAGTATTAGAAACTCTACCGCCAATTTTCATTTATCAGATTTGAATTGAAATGAAAGGAGCTAGATTGTGCTGTTCTAGATTCATACCCTTTTTCTTTTGTTGAAACTGATGTTTTTTTCCATAACCATGCAAAATATAGTTTTGAGGTATGTATAATTGTATTATGCTATCATTTCCTTCTTAGATTCAGTTAATATTCCATATGTTTACATGCAATTTATTGTTCTTCAGAAGACCAACAACAAATTGGTGGCAATTAATGTTTAAAACAAAATCTATGTAAAGCTATAAGTTTCAGCAAAGTACTGGCTTTTTCAAAGTGTCTACACAAATATTTATTTCAGATAAGAAAATTAACATTTACCAACTTCTAAAAGTCAACAGTTATATGCTTATAGCATATTCTGAATTTGGAGCCAAGTAGTCATGTGTGTCTATCTAAAATACATGATGCCATCTTAATTAGGACACATCCTAGTAAAAGTTTATATTTTAAAATACTCTTGCCAAAAGTATTTTTGTTAATATACAACAAATATGCATGCATGTGTTTTTCAAATAGTTAAGGGATGGTTACATGAGCATCATGCACACACGTGTGTATGCACCTGGAGTGATTTGAAAGTGATTTGTTAAACTGAAGTGATTTGTTTGCAATTTATTGGAAATGATTTGTTTGCAATTTATTTGGAGTGATTTGGTTGCGATTTGTTCAACAGAAGTGATTTCTACACAATTTATTCAAAGTGATTTCGTTGTGATTTCAGGGTGATTTGCTTACAATTTGTTAGGAGTGATTTGTTAGCTCATTTGCATGGGAATTTGCATCACTTACAAATCATCTTCAAATCACTGATTCATAAGTGATTTCTTAAAGTGATTTGTTTGAGGATTTTTTTCACTTGGGGGGTGCCTTCTTTTTATCATATCTAATATGTTTAAAATCTAAAGTAAACGATATCTTGGGTATTAATACTTATATTATTGCTCAAATATTCAACTATTTTTCAAAGTGTTAATTGGAAGTCTTTGATAGCAAATTGCTTAATTAAAAATACATATCTTTTCAAACTTGCTTTCACTGGACAAGATGACAAGTTTCATTTTTAACCATCTGCCTTCCTTCACTAAAATGATCAATCCAGCATTAATTGAATTTATAGGAACTCATTTATCTCAATAAACTGTGTACAAATTATTATTTGAAACTGCAGAGGGATTTCTAAGATATACAATAAATTGTCCAGTCGTTTGTTGAACGAGTTCGACTGAGACAACCATTTTTCGTCACAAGTGACCTACATAGTGACGTCATTTTCACATTGTGACGTCACAAACAAGGAGAAAAATTTTATTCAGCATATGCTATTTATAGACCTTGTGTATGACTATTTGTGTACCGAATTTCATTCTAATCTGAATTGTGGTTTTATAGATATAGAGATAGTTCGCGAACTTTTTGATCACCCCTGGTATATGTTAAAAATTAAATTTTTTGTCCACATTGGAGTAATTTTTTCACATGACTCACTTGTAAAACGTACACCTACCCTAGGGGTCATGATTTGAACAGATTTAAATCTAAAATCTGTTCTTTAATAGAGAAATTTTTTCCGAGATATATTTCTACCAGGTATATGAAATTTTGATTGTGGCCTCCAATCCCCAGCAAAACCCCCTTTGTATGATTTGATCAAACTTGAATGTAAATTTCACAGTGGATTGAATCTTATTCACGTAAATTTGAGTGGCTTAATTGTTGAGAGAGATGTTAATAAGACAACTAAAAGTTGATAAAAATTGAATAAAATTTACAAAAAAATGTCTTTTACCAATTATATTTTTTATATCCTAATGCATCAAAATTTATTTTTGTCCCTAAGGGATGAAAAATAGGAGAAAAATCTTCATGACAAGCATTTAATATAGGAACCACCAGGAAACTCAAGCAGTGAGATGAAGATTCTACGACTCGGGCCAAGTGCGGTCCTGGGCCTGTAGACTCCTAGATGGAAGCTGTGTTAGATGCCTCACACTAACAAGAAGCCCATGGGCCACATTGCTCACCTGAGTAACTGTGGCCATGCTTTTTTTTTTTTACTATATTCCGGCCACCTTGTAATACCTTTTATGACCCCACCCTACCCCTGGTGTCATGATTTTAAGAATTTAGAATCTACATTGTTCCAGATTGCTTCAACATACTTTTCAAAAAGATTTTTCAATAAAGAAGACGGTACGGTTTGGGCTTTATTGTGCCCTAAAAATTTATTGTTCTTAAAAAGTTCTGAAATTGGCTTAAACAATAGTTGAGTAGATGGATATGATAAATCATTAAAGAATATGGCATGATGAAGAAGCTTTCTTGAAATTTGACGTCACTTATTTGGTACATTTTTATAAGTTAAATGCAGAAATGCTTCTCGTTTTTCTATAGTGTCTGCCACCGTCGCCCGCTTTAATTTTTGATATATTGTGCAAACAGCTATGAAAAATCACATATCTTAAAATCTTTACACCTGAAAAATGATGTCTTCTGCAACTTTTTACAAAAATATGGGAAAATGCACAAGTTAATGACGTCACAATTAGCATTTAGGAGGTCATATGAGAAATACCAGTTGTGTATTCTTACTACCGAGAATTCCTATGATTCAGAAAGAATGAATTTTAATTTCTTATATCACTTTCATATTTTAGAAAAATATCGGGCTTAATTTGTATTGAAACTGTACCTTCTTCTTAGATTCAAAACTTCGATTCTCTATTGTGACCATGTCTACACAATGGGTTCATGATTTGAAGAATTTAGAATCCACACTATCCCAGCATGCTTCCAGGTAATATAAGCTTCAGCTTTTCTGGCCCAGTAGTTCTTAAGAAGATTTTAAGGACATTCTAAACACTAAGAGAAACTGTTTTTTGGGACTCAAAGCAAAATGCATTATATAAAGATATGCATATTGAAACTTTTTCATTCATTTAGAACATAGGGTACGTGCCTTATTTGCGCAGGAAAAATGTTCTAAGACAATGGACTATTTGTGAGCAGAAATCACTGTTGTTTAACTTACTTTGGTAAAATTAATGAAAATAATAAATTACATTCCTTACTCTTGGTCTTATATAATGCCAAAAATATTTAAATCTATTATAAATTATGTAGATAGCGGTAAATAACAATTTCTTTAAACTTACATCTAAGGGCAGATCACTCTAACTACATTAAAAACTACCCAATAAATAGAGCTCTTTAGTGTGCAGTGTTTACAGCGTCCTTAAAAGATATTTCCTATGTATTTCAATGTAAAACTTGGATTCCCTATTGTCACCCCACCAAACCCCTGGGGGTCATGATTTGAACAATTTAGAATCTACATTACCACAGGATGCTTCCACATAAGTTTCAGCTTTTCCCGTGGTTCTTCAGAAGTTTTTTTAATGACCCCAGTCACCCCACCCTATTTTGTCTTTTCTCTGTTATCTCCCCTTGTGAGGGAACTTAAAAATTGGCCCTTCATTTTTATAACTCAAACTCCCATTTACCCATGAATCCTTTGTAATAAGTTAATTTGGTTAAAATTGGCTAAAAGCTCGATCAGGTGAGATGAAAATTATACCAAGTCCTTAAATCACCAAGAAAGGACTGCTAAGTGGAGGAATATTTCTTTTAAAGAAAACTTACAAAAGTTTCCAAACTGTAATGACCATTTACTGGACTGGAATCAGCATCAGGAGAAAAACATGGCAATTTGGATCTTTTCCATCAGATGTAAGAAGTGCCAAATACCATTCACCGAAAAAAGCTATACAAAGAGGTGGGAAGATCTGGCAGGGGATGAAGAGCTGCACAGCTGAATATGACCATGGCTGCTGGTCACTTGGGTACCACAAGTAGAGGGTAGGCATGGCTTATTGATGCTAATGTTAAAACAGCATCATGGCAAACATGCAGCAGACCTGTAACAAAGTAGGGAAAATTCTCACAGACATGAACAAAACTATAATGAGAAAAATAATGCAGAACATCCAAGAACTTAATCAACAAGATGTGTTTGTGAAACATTTATGCCCCTGTATGGCTATTAAGATAGTGAAAATTAAAACTTTCTCAAATGGAAATCAAATATGATGGTACCCAAAGTAAGACTTTCTCAAAAGAAATAAATTGTGAAATATGAATGCCATAGCACAACCTGTTCAAAAGTTATGACAAGATTCAAGTTCTTAAAAGGTTGCTCAAACTCCAGGGTCAAGGTCAAAGATCAAAGTTATTGGGTTTTTAAAGAAAGGTCTTGACACAAGGATTACATTATGTTAAGTATGAAAGCCTTAGCCCTTCAAAAGTTATGGCCAAGGTTAAAGTTTTAAAAGTAGGTCAAACTTTAGGGTCAAGGTCAAAATTGTTGGTTTTTTAAAGAAAAGTCTTGTCAAAAGGATTTAATACATATGTTAAGTATGAAATCCCTAGTCATAACCCCTCAAAAGTTATGACCAAGGTTAATTTTTTTAAAGTAGGTAAAACTCTAAGGTCAAGGTCAAAAGGTAAAATTTGTTGGTATTCAACAGAAGGACTTATCACAAAGAATACATATGTGAGGTATGAAAGTCCTAGAACCAAATGTGCAAAATAGTTAATACTAAAGTAAAAGTTTGGTATTTTTGTGTAAAAGTGTGTCAAACTCCAAGGTCAAAAGGTCAAATCTGGTTGTACCCAAAGAAAGGTCTTGTCACAAGGAATATATCTGTGAAATATGAAAACCATAGTCCCACTTAATCAAAAGTTACGGGCAAGGTAAAAGTTTTTGCTGACAAATAGACAAGCAGGCAGATGGACGAATGGACAAGGCAAAAACTACATACCCCTATATCTTCGATCAGGGGGGCATAAAAATGTGGTCTTTCTATTACCCCCATCAGAGCAGAAGGAGATGCCCGAGATAATAATGTTAATTTCAGTGCCATTTAAGAAACCCAATTCCAAGCTGCCATCCAAGTGACTTCTAAGTTACCTCACAGTACTCAGGGGCAAAATGTTGTGGCAATTTTCTGTGGGAAAAAGGCACACACCTTAGAAACAAAGGAAAGGAATTTACCTGCCCAAGACATGATAACTGCACTGCAACCATTCCTCCGGAGACCACCATTGGAGACAAGAAGAGATGGGCTGCTAATTGTGTTGGTGAGTTACAAAGTGATGACTGTCCACTAGTCATATCCCATTTCACCAGTGATGGAGACAGTGCCACTGCATCTGGTGCATCTGAAAAACAAGGAGGACATCAATGAAAAGTAGCTTAAAGACTTGCATTATTTCGTTGACTCTCAAAGAAAACAGCTGACTGCAAAGGCACCATTCAGCAGTAGCAATTGTTTCAGAGAAGAACCAACATCATAAGATACTGTATAAGTAGAAATTTTAGCGAGGATTTATTTTGTCATAATTAGCGAGGCTGTTGAGATTGCTAAAATTGAATAATACTGCTAAAAATAAATTGTGTGTTACTTTTATTATCTTCTTTAGTGAGCATTTTGAAATTGCTAAAATTACTTCTCAGTCTAAAAAAAAAAATACCAGTTTTAAGGAGAAATCGCTAAAGAGCCATAGCGCATTTGATAGTCACTTTTGCCTATTTTTAAGATTAATTTCTAAAAATCTTGTTTAGAATAAGAGTATTGAACTAGTAAAATGATTGTCATGTAACAAACTTACAACTATGAAAATATAAAATTCTACAAATAATTACATACATGTAGTTTGATCGTGAATTGAAAAGGTACATGTACGATGTATCTATAAATAGAAATAGGTGATTTCCTTTTAAATACTTGAGTTGGCCGAATCGTCGGTAAGGCAGCTATGGCTCTTTGTGTCTTGCTAAAATTTCCACTTAAATGGTAATTAATCCATGCAGAGAACATTTGCCTTGGACCTGACGCTTCAATACAGGACAGAGTATGAGAATTGCTACAAACACTACTCTCAAGACTTACCTTTGATGAAGGGAGGAAACTTTTATTATATACCTATTCCGCGAATTCAAGAAATCGCGACTGTGTCAGAGAAGAGAAAAACGTGAAAATTACAACCCGTGAAATTAATCCCCTATACAGTATTCATAATTAACAAGATGTGTTTGTGAGACACTATGGATGGTAACACAATTCTAGAGTGGGATGGAGACTGAAGTGTTAAGGGTAGCAAGGTCACAGCTGATAATCTAGCTAGCTTTCTTGTACTAATTGTTGCTAATATTGTTTTATTATGAATGCACTGATTCTATTCAACTGTGTATAAATGGGGAAAACATGGGCATGTATAAATGATTAATAGTTTATGAGTAAAATGTGACATTTTCGTTATACTGGGGATATTCTGTACATGTCTATTATTTTATTTAACACATTTAAATCATTTTGATTAATTATCTTGCTTTTTTTTACCTGTCTGATGAAAGCAACAAAGGTTGAAGAGCTAATTAGTTGAAATACAGGTACCGGTATACGGGTGTCAAAACTCTCTGTTGATGACCAGACTGCATTCCGCATTGTAGATTTGCCATTCATATCTTTAACAGGGGGGACTACTCCTGAAATCAGAGAAACTGTTGTTAAAAATGGAGTTACTCTTTATAGGTCTCACACAAGGATTAATATCGCTATTTGTTACTATGTAGCTTTAATTAAGTTCCTTGATGAACTACTGGTAGATTCTGATTAGCAATAATCATAAAAAAGAAAATGAATATAATATTCAAAGATAAAATTTGAGATCAAACAAGAGATGTTTGTAATAGTGTAGATCACGAAATTTTCGCGTAATCTTATTTTCGCGAGATAGCTATTGAATTTTGATTAGCGAGACAAAATTTCACGAATTGTGGTCATTGCTTTATATAACCTTAAGGAATGCTATTATACACAAGAATTAAATTTTCGCGAGCACTCTGTCTCGCATAATTACACGAAAATAAAGTTCACGCGAATAAAAAGTGATTTACAGTACACTTATGCCCCCCTCCCCCCAAATTGGAATTTTTCTAAGTCCAAAAGGGCATAACTCTGTCTAAGATGGTGCGATGCTATCCCAAACATTTCTTGACCTAGATATTCAGCTGAAAAATCTGTATACTAAATTTCATTTCAATATGTGCAACCTCTGCAAAGAAAATGAATGGAAACTACAATTAAGTGGAATTTCTAAGTCCAAGGGGCATAACTCTAACAACAAGATGTGTTTGTAAAACACTGATGCCCCCGTATGGCAACATAGCAAAGATTAAGCTTTTCTTACATGCAAATTTAATCAATTGGTACCAAAAGTAGGGTATTCTCACTGGAAAACAATTGTGAAATTTGAAAGTAAGCTAATGTTTTAAGTTTTTTAATAAGTACAAAAATCTCCAAGGTCAAAAGGTCAATGTAATAAGTATCAAATGAAAGGTCTTGCCACATAAAATACTCATGCAGAGCATGAAAGCCCTAGCCCTAACCGTTCAGAAGTAATGGTCAACGTTCAATTTCTTAAAAAGTAGGTCAAACTCCAAGGTCAAATGGTCAAAGTTATTGTTATCAAATGAAAGGTCTTGTCATAAAGATCAAATATGTAAAGTATGAAAGCACTAGCCCTAACTCTTTGAAAGTTATGGTCAAGGTTTGCTTTTTTAAAGTAGGTCAATCTCAAAAGTCAAGGTCAAAGGGTCAAAGTTCTTGGTATCCAATGAAGGGTCTTTTCACAAGGATTACATATATGAAGTATAAAAGCCCTATCCCTTACCATTCAAAAGTTATGGCCAAGGTTAAAGTTTTTTCACAAATATGGAAATCTGCAAGGTCAAGGTCAAAGGGTCAAGGTTGTTGGTATCCAGTGAAAGGTCTTTTAACAAACATTACATATGTGAAGTATAAATATCCTGGTGTCTATTGTTTTCAAAAGATATGGCCAAAGTAAAATTTTAAAATTTTCATTTTAAAGTGGGTCAAACTCCAAGGTCAAGGTCAAAAGGTCTAATTTGGTGGTACCCAAAGAAAGGTCTTGTCACAAGGAATACACATATGAAATATGAAAGTTATAGCTCCACTAAATCAAAAGTTATGGGCAAGGTTAAAGTTTTTGCGGACAAACAGACAAACAGAGAGACAGAAAGACAGACAGACATACAGAGAGACAGAGAGACAGACAGACAGACAGACGGACACGACAAAAACTATATACCCCTGAAACTTCGTTTACGGGGGCATAAAAAGGATGCGATTGTACCCAAAACAGAACCTGACCTAGATATTTATCTGATATATCTGTATACTAAATTTCATTTCAATATGTGCAACCTCTGCAAAGAAAATGAACGGAAACTGCCAATAAGTGGAATTTTTCTAAGTCCAAAAGGGCATAACTCTAACAAAAAGGATGCAATCATACCCAAAATAGAACTAGACCAAGGTATTTATCTGAA